CTTGAGCTGTGACAGCATTTAAGGGTTTTCTGCCTCTGCGGGGCCCGATTCGGATGAGAAGGGCGGCTGTAGCAGGGCCGGGCGGGTGGGTGGGCTCAGTGGCAGCCACAGGCCTTGACCACCATGTTGCGGTGCTTGCGCAGGATGACGTTGTTGCTGCTGTCATAGTAGAGCACAGAGGTGGCGCTTAGCTTGGTGGGCGCGCAGCATGCCTTGGGGACCGCGTCTGGCTTCATCAGGTGCACCTGGCCAGGGAGGGGGGTACAGGCAGGGACATAAGTCCAGTAGCCTCCTCCGAGGACCCACCCAGTCCTGCCCCAGCTCCACCTGCTCCCCGCCCTGGCCATCTCCAAGCCACATGGGAGCAGCACAATAATAAGAAATATTAACAGGAATAAGAGCAGCCTTGAGGGCTCTGGGGGCAGGAGCCGTAGTGACCTGCAGTGCCCAGGGAGGGACACATGGCAGCCCCGGGGGGTGGGGCAAGTGGGCAGGGCACTAATGAGGGGCCTCAAGTCCCAGGCCAAGGGCTTAGACTTCCTCCTGGGGATAATGGGAAGGAGAACCTCATGGCCAGGTTTGTGCGTTAGTGAGGTCCCCAAAGGGGAGCCTGGAAGGACCACTTTCTTCTTTTGGCCCTTTGGACCCCCAGAGGCTCTGCCTCCCCACACCTCAGCCTCCCTCCCCAGGCTCTGGGAGGCCAAGCCTTAGCCCCTCTCCTGTGCCGCTCCTTCCCCCAGAGACCCGCATCCGCCCTCAGCACTTCAGGGCCCTGCATGTGCCCGCACCTCTCTACTCCCCGGGCTCAGCTTGGACCTCTCTTCTGAACATCAGACTTGCGGATCCTGCTCCCCTCTCTGCTTCTGCACTTGGGGTCTAATGGGGCCTCAGCAGAACACGGAGTTCCTCCTGCCCTGACATCATAGCCCCCACCTGGGAGGCCTCCTGGATGACTCCTCTCGCCTTCTCCCTTCCCTGGGAGCAGCCTCTGGCTCAACCTCCACCTCCATGCTGCCTCCGACCACCTGCCCCGTCCAGCTGCCATCACCTGCCAGGTGACCACAGCAGCCCTCACTCGTCCCCTGCTCCTCTGCCTTCCACTGCCCCCACTATCAGCCTCCCTAAGCCAGAAAGGTCCTTCTGGAGGGTGACACGGACCAGGTCACTGCTTTGTTAAACACCTCTGACAGCCTTTTGGGTTGCTTGGAATAAAATCCACCCTCATTCCCAGGGACCCCCAGGCCCTAGGGGAGACAGCCCTGCCTACTCCCGGCATCACCTCCCTCCGCTCTCCTCGCCTTCACTGCACCCAGCCCCTCCTCCCTGCTAACCCTGAACTTGGGGCCAACTTGCTACTGTCTTAGGGCCTTGCAGTTGCTCCTTCTGATGGAACATTCCTCCTCCAGCTGCTGACGTGCCCCTCCTTGTGCGGAGAGGCTGGGCCCAGTCTCACTCCACTGATGGCGCAGCCGCTCTGCTCTTCCTCACAGGAGGCGTCAGCTCCATGGTTGGTTTGCTTCTGTGCCCACTGACAGCCTCCCCTAGAGCACAGCGCCTGTGTGTTTGCTGCCCAGCAGGCTGTGAGCGCTCACTTTAGTTGAGCCCCTGAGGGGCCGGGGTAGAGAGGATGGAGTCTGGGAGCTGCAGGTGCAGTCACCTTCCCGTGTGCCTCCCACACATGCAGCTGTGAGAACCACACAGCATAAAGGGTGGCTGGGCTGGGCCGCCCCACGCGTCCTCATCACCCCTGGGCCTTTCCAAGGAGGTGGCTCCAGGTATCCAGCAAATGCCATTTGACTGCCCAGAAAGGAAGCATTATCATAGGCTCAGAGCAGCTTTTGGTAATTTCTTTCCTCTCACACCAAGGCATTGCATGCACACGTGTGTGTGTGTGTGTGTGTGTGTGTTTTAATTTTTATTTTAGAGACAGGGTTTCGCCATGTTGCCCAGGCTTGTCTCGAACTTCTGGGCTTATGTGCTGCGATTACAGGATAAGCCACCACACCTGATCAAGGCATCACCGTTGAACCTCCTAAGAGGAAAACATAAGGCTGTGGAATACCAGGAACTGGAATTCTAGGTAAAAAGTTCTAGAAGGAAGCCTCGGTGCCAGAATCTGCAAACACACAGAGCACTCCGCAGTGAGCAGCACCAGTGATCCCATCAGAAGCCTGCTTTCATCTTTGAATGTTGCCCCAGACAACAAGGCATCAAAAGCCAGGGGATCCAGAGAAAACACAAATGACCAAGAGAGAAACTGGGGGAAAAGCCAAAAGGTTGAGAGCCAAACCGTCTAGATGCTTCCTGCCTGCGGTGTGGCACAGGTGGGTGTGTGCACACACACGTCCCGCACACTGTACGCACCTATCATAGGGGGATAGACCTGCTAGTGTACTCAGGGGCCCGTGTGTTAAGATCAGACAGTCCCCACACAGTCTATTTCGTGTGCTGTGCCTCTGTCTGGGCACCACACGTAGGTGCGTTAAATGTCCCACAGGAGCATGTGCGATGCATAGAACAGGCACGTGTATACGACTGTTCAGTGTCAGTGTGGAGTGTGTCCGTGTTCGGGTGCGAGTCTATGTGTGCTAGTGTGGTTGTATGAGGACCAGTTCCTGCAGAGCTGTGGGAAGTTAGCAACGTTACTGACTGTGCAGAGAAAGCTCCCTGAGACATGGAGCAGGTGGCCTTGCTGTCCTCCCGGCTGGCTGGACCAGACCCCTCTCTGCAGGGCCCCCCACCCCAGGGGGCTGGGCAGGATGGACATGGTACTGACCAGGGACTGCAGGATGGCGTGGTTGGTGGCGTTCATGCAGGAGTCCAGCGGGAAGGAGCACTCCCCCTCACAGTAATAGGCCGAGTAGCCTTGGGGGGCAATGACCCAGTCCTAGGGGACATGGGAGAAGGTGAGTCCCATCCATGTGCCCCTCCCTGAGCCTCAGGGCTCAAACCCACCCTCCACCCCTGCAGGGCAGTCTCCCCCAAGAGGCTTGAATCCACCCAGGAACCCCCAGCAGACAAGGCTGGGCAGGAGCTCAGGCGCAACATCCCCCATCCTCACTCTGCGTCTTCTCCCCAGCCAGCCCTCCCTGCCCACGCCTCCCAGAGCTGCAGTCACAGCCCATGCAGGGAGGTCTCAGTTACCCTGTGGCAATGCTGACGGCTTAGTTGATTCAGTCTTCATTTTCATGGTTAAAAAAAAAACAACCCTTTCTCACCATATCCTTACTTTAGAAAACTTGGAAAACACAGAAGAAAAAAATACCTAAGAAAATTGAAGTCACTCATGATTCTATGTCCTCCCTACAGATTCACTTCTGATCTACAGGTGGTGATTGTCATTTCAGAAACAAGGAGAGTCAGCAATTACCAGCCAGCCAAGGTCCTGGAAGCTGACGTAGAGCTCGTGCCGACGGCAGACCTGCCGCCCGTGGGAGCCGTGGACGTCATCTGCAGGGACAGAAGGGCAACGTCTTTTCTGGGGTTCCTGCTCTGTGCAGCTACTATGGGGTACCAGGGTGGGAGATGCCCTGATGAGCACGTTTGTCAAATGAATGACAGGAAACCATTTGGTCTCATAAAGCCCATCCCTGGAACTCTGCTTGTACCGTGACCCAGCTGAAGAGCCTGCCATGGCTCCC